TGTGTGTGTGTGTGTGTGTGTGTGTGTGTGTGCGTGTGTGTGAGATCACATATAAAGATAGCAAGTTTATATACAAATGTTCATCTACTTTTTCCTTTTTCTCTTTAACACTCTCTCGTGCACACAAAAACCCAAATTTCTCCCTTTGGTGATCAGCGCAGCAGTATCACCATGACAACAGTTGATGCCACCTGCAGCGTTGGCTAGCATCAGAGGCGGTGCTCATTAGTTACGACACACAATGACGGTCCGGACGGTATACATTTGCATTATAATCCCACCCACTCATGACATCACCACCGCGCTATCCTTTATAATAAAAGAGGGAAGATGCGAATACAGCGAGGCTACTTTGTTGAGATGATTCCTTCTGTTCTGCAGAATCACACAACATTTACGATTTCATGTAGCAGCTGATCAGAATGAAAGAAAGCAGGCAGGGCACGTCAGTCATGATGCCCCGAGGGTTTCCGAGCAAGTCTGAACACGTTAATGTTTCCAAGTCATTGCTTTTAACCTTCAAGTTGCCCCAGTGTGTGTTTCCATACGATGTGAGCAGAGCACTATCACAGCAGAAGAAGAATAAAGAACCACTTCTGTCTCGCGGCACCTGTTTATGATTTCTCATTTATTCAGCACTAAAGCGCTGATGAGGCCATGATGTATAGATTCTGAGTGTGGGAGGTGAAAATTCACAGCTATGGTGTGAAGACTCCAAAAAAAAAAAACTTACTTTATTTAATTACATAGTGCCCACTCAAATATTAGACTTGGAGTTTAATCGCACACAAGCATACTGGGGTCCCAGGTTTCCCATCAGACCAATGTACAAGGTGAAATAGTAGGAACGACAAATCCACAATCAGCTGTGAAAGAAAAGCCTACACATGCACATTGGTATCCCATGAGGTGCTGGGAGAGTGGAAAGTCTTCTCAGGAAGAGGAGGATAATGAGCCACTCTCTGCTGAAGCAGTGTGTGTGTGTGTGTGTGTGTGTGTGTGTGTGTGTGTGTGTGTGTGTTGGGGAGAGTAGGTTGAACTGTACTGTGCAAAAAGGCAGTATAGCTAAAGCATTTGTGACGTAGCTGCCACACATTTTCCATTTTAATATTACCGACATATATAGAGGATATTTTTAGACCTCATTCTTAGAATAAAACAACCACTGTAAATTTGTTACTCTGTCTTTTACACCTTTTGCTTGTGATAATACTGGAATCTGCTGTGATTAAATACATTTTTAACACTTTTCTATTGAGTGGGAACATCTGACAGACAGCAGACAATGTGAAACCAAACAGAAAACCGATGTACTGCCTCTCCTGCTGATACTTTACATTCAGACTATTCCAACTAACAGTCCTAACATGATCGACAAGCTGACCTACAGTCCGACTCTGTCGCTTGATTCGCTGTATGCTCAGATGGACATTTTATGATGGATAGTTTATGATTTTAGGATCGGATATCTAATCAGTCACTAATTGTCTCCGTCTGTGTCTTACTCTCTCTCCCACTCTGTCTCCCTACTCTGCCCAACCCTCTCCACACCCATTTCCTTTGACCACTAAACACATCTTTAAGGCTTTTAGAGCTCTTTCTGGAGAGCCAGTATGACCTTCATACCTCTTGTTTACTATTCATCAATTATAGAAAGAAATAGGTGGGGCAGTGAAAGAGAGGACTGCTGTTTGTGTCCACAAAAAAAAACATTTTAAGCGTGTAGGGTTAACCTTTTGTGTGTGCTATAAAGAGACTCAAACTATATTTGCCTGCTGGTAGCAAATAACACTATCAAAGTACAGCCAAAAGTCAACAACCAGGCTACCTATACAGATGGATTGACTGGAGCGCTGATAGCGTTTAGAATCAATAACATTACTGTCATCGAGGAAGAGGCTTAGCAACAGACACCACTGAGATAAAGTCCAGTCTAAAATCCATATGATTCCAAAACTATATCATACTGTTATGCTTTATATGGTTTTTTCAAAAAGTGTTGAACATTTTAAACAATTTGATTAAAGATTAATGAACATTTGTGTATTGTTAGCTCAACAATCTAAACCATCAAAATCTTAACTGGCTCTGGCCATTAGCACTTGCAAGTTAATGTGGGGTTTATAGTCCCAAAGAGAGAAAGACTAAGAACCAGTTCACAAGCTACAGGGAGTCCTGCAATGCATAGCACTATAGAGATGACAGTATGCGTGGGCTGAATGCTGGTTAACATTTAGGTATAATCAGGAAAGGAAGTGACAGATGATTTTACGACGAAAAGGAAGAAGTGCAAGTGAAATCATCAAAGATTAGAAAAAGCACAGATAAAAAGCACAGACAGTGGCTGAAGTGCTTCCACTCCACTACAAAGATACTGTTTATGATCACTTCTGCCTCAACTCTCTTTTGCTGTAAAGAGCAAAAGAGCAAGAAATTAGGAGCATCACAATACTGGTTGGGCTATATATTTTAACGCTGCCCCCTGGAGACAGTAGAAAGTTATTACATATAGACATGGGTCTGCAAAGCTCTGTGTATCATAATGGAAGCTTGATATAACCAACACACACACAGTGTCAAACGTATCACACCACATTTATATCCATACACTCTCTCTGTGGGACCGAGAGTTGTGTTAGTGAGGGCGTGTTTAGCATAATGCCCTATCAGTCATGCAGTAAGTGTCTGAGACTTGGAAATGGTAACACCCTGGGAGAACACAGGCCAATATGATTATTGCAAGGAGGTGGGTTACTTTTTTCTTTTTTCATAGACTGAGCTGTAAATCTGTAGACAACTGTAAAACTGCTGCAGGGTGGAACACAGAGTGGCTCGCCTTCCATTCAGTGTCAGATCAATAATGTTTTTATTCAGTACAGACACCATTTACTATTCTGTAACCCAGAAAGAAATCAGCCGTGAAAAATAAGAAGCTACGGGAAAATGCTACATTTGGATTTCTCTCATTAAAGCAGAAAAAGCGGTTTATTCTTTAAATCTTGATGTTGAAATTCTTACTCTGACACATATGCTACAGTACCACAAAACATCAAATACTAAAATAAGTGTTTGAGACTGTTACACATGTTACCACACTTTACAAATCTGTCTGGAATCTTGTAATTAAGGTAGGAATCCATGCATTCATGCATTTATTTATGCATGTTTTATTTTATGTCACTGATGCTTTTTATGTGCTGATTATACCATATCAGTAGAAGGACTCAATAATGGCCAATCACATCATCACATCTGCAGCACTTTCCTAATGTTCTGATGTTTCAAGCTATTTTACCCCTCAGAAAACTAGTCTAATATCTGCAAGAGATGCTGAGTGGAAGGCACAGCTTCCTCCATTTAAAAATCTGATATCAATAACAAGCAACATCCAAAACATTCATGCAAAGTAGAGAATGGCCCAAATGTCTCTTTATATTTTTGCATAATGTAATGATAAAAATAGATTGCATAACACTGTGGAAACAAAGGGTTTCAAAAGGTGGTGCTTAAAAAAGACGAGAACAATCTAAATAGAAAATTACCAAAGTCAGCTGCTGCAAATTATTTCAACATCTGGAAGATCCTAATGTACATCATGCATGTTCACATTTGTTCCATTTTTCCACACTACATGAGCATTATTGACTCAGCATGTGGAAACTCAATAAAGTGGTGAAGCACTAGACAGCTAACTGGACATAAAGCAGGGTTTATAGCTGGGTTAATGGCAGTCTCACCATACTATAGTTAGGTACAAATTTGAAGGTACAGTCCAGTCCGGCACACTCTCCACAATAACTGCGTTCACACTGTTTGGTACAAAAATGTGTAAAACAATTGTAAAATTTGATTAAATTAATGATGTTGCTCTATCCAGGATGCAATCTGCCTTTCGCTCCTCATGTCAACTCAGATAGGCTTCAGCCTGCCCCTCCCCCCATGACCCTGAATTGGATAAATGGAAGAGGATGGATGGATGGACAGAGGATATATATGCTCCAGAAGACAGCTATAAGAATTATAGATTAATCCGGTCATTACGAACCAACTGATGCATTATTTATATGTTGTTATTTAGTTTATCTTAACACTGCACTGATAACATAAAAAACACAAAATATTCTACTTACTTAAGTATTCAGAGGTCGTTTAAAACCAGAAAGATCAAGTATGAACCCAGGGGAATTCTACAAGTAAATATACAAACAAGAGCAGTTTGAGACTACATATCTCTGCAAAGACTGAAAGTTCTCTCCTCAGTTTATGTGACCTCAGAATCAGATAGGACAGCTAATCAGGATCAGTTTATGATATTTTCTTGAGAAAATCTGGACAGAGTCTCACAAGTATTCTTATTTACATCTGATATGAATTTGTGAAGATATGTCAAGAAATGTCCCTGAAGTCTCTGTCCCAAGAAATCTGACAACTGTAAAGAATCCTTAAAAAATGTTAATTGTCCCCTGAAGCTGATGATGCTCAACTTGTCTACTTTTTCTTACATTCAATGCAGCAGCTCAACACCAGCCCCTAAATAAAGTGCTATAAAGGCAGTTTAAAAAACATAATCTATCTTTCACATGTATATAATTCACAAACACGGATAGACTTCCTATGGCTCGTTTTATAATAACGTCCTAAATGAACCGTTACACATGGGGTGACAGTGATGCCTCTCATCAGGTCAGTCACACACCTTCAGTGCTAAGATTTTCATTTCACTGTAGACTTGCAGTGAGGAGACTGCTCAGCTAAATGATGGCTTTGCCATGGCAACACACCGGCTCTCTGGGTCTCGTACACTATGCCAGGGCTCATTTCCATGACAACATTATCAAAATCTCTACCATAAACAGAGTGCTGCTTCAGCTTCAGTTTAAAACTGCCCCTCACTGCCTCCCTGTTTTTTGGCTAAGAAACTGAAACTGGAGAATGTTAGCTAAATAATG